GTCAGCGTGCAGATGTGTAGCAGTTGCTCACCATCTCCTCCTGTGAGAAGCAAGGTGTTGCTTTGGACTGTTGTGAGCACCTCAGAGTTTGAGCTGTCCTTCACATGGTGTGTACAAGTAGAAGGAAAGTCAGTTATCTTGTAGGAGTTGTTCTGCTTCCTAACGCGTTTATTTGTCATACATTTGATGGTGTTGTTCTAATTAGGACACAAAAAACCCACTATGATCTTGATGATGTACTTCTCCTGAAGGCTAAGAGCCTGACAGTAATTAAGTCATAGTTGCATAAATTTTACCTTTCTGGCTTTATAGTTTAGTTGTATTCTTGTGTATGAGGAAGTAAAACAAAGTCTCCATTATAACATATGCAGGTAGTGTATGTTTGAGTTTAAGCAATAATTAACTAATGAGGTGATAGAATGTGGAAGCAGCAAGAGGGAAGCATTTGCTTATGAGAATGGGGGTGAGAGGAGAGAGTTCTTAATGCAGTAATACATCTATGAAATGCCCTACAAATATTGTAATTAGGAACAGCAAGCGAATTTGCTTTTTCATCAGTGGAAAATAGATCTGTAGTGAGATCTGCCTTTATACGGTTATGCAGACAGCTTTATTTTTGGTCTCGAATTTTCCAGTATGGGTTATTCTGTTCCTTGAAACCATAGAAGCTTACAGTTGTCTGTGACTTCTGCAAATGTTACGGTCAGTTAAGCAGGAGGAAGATGTTTTGATTGGAAGAATCCTGCTGAAATTTCAAACTCAACACTTCTGTGTTTGTTGTAGCAATAAAATGTAGGAACTTCATTCTTAGGTGCCAGGTGAGTGCTCTGTGCTGTGTGTGCATTCTTTGTCAGTAGGGCAAAAAATGCATGTGTAAACGTGCTCTAGTCTGTTTTCATGTGAGGTTGAATGTCTGCCTTTAATAATTAGAACTGTACTGAATTTTTGTAATAGTCAGGATTGAGTTAGAGGATCACTTTCTGACAGAATCTGCTTACAAAGATACTGTGTGTGTTTTATAAAGGCAAGCTGACGTTCTTAAAAGAGGAAATCTTTTACAGCGTGCAAGTTCTTTAAGATATGGTGATGCATTGTGGTTTAACCCAGCAGATCACTGAGCGTCACGTAGTTGTTCATTCACTGCCCCCATCTCAGTGAGATGGAGAGGAGAAATGAGGGAAAAAATGAGATAGAGAAAAGGAAAAGCATAATAATTATGGCATGTATATCTACATATACACACATATACTTGTAATCTAGATTTATAACAAGGGATGCACAAGCAATTGCTCATCTCCTGTTGAGGTCTTGAAACAGTAAATGTTTGGTGCAGAAAGTCTATACCAAATTAACTTGAAAAACTGATGCTTTCCAGCTTCAGATGAGACAATTATTTATTGATCTCTTGTACATTTCAAGTGTGCGAAAACTCACCTCTGGAAGACTGATATTTGTAGATAAAATTGATATGGCTTACTGGGCTCTGTTAGTGGCTCTTAGGTGTAGCAAATTTGATGTTGCTAATGATGTTCTGCGTATGGGAGTTCTACTTCTGTTCTGCTGAATTTATCTGTCACTAACAGCTTGCTGCATTGTGAAATCATTAAATAGCAGCCTTTAACATATTTAACTCTGGTTTTTTGAAAAGCTGAACTTCCTAATTGGGATTCATACATGTATGAACCCTTGGTGTCTGGTGCTGACCTGAGAATAAAACTTCAGTTATTACTTACAGGGCCTGCCTTACAGCATAAGATCACATGGCAGTGCCTTCTGCCTTCAGTATTTTACTTTTACAAGTGCTGTGGTACAACTGGGTCTGTCTAATACCTGTTCAGATACAAGACAGAGTAAGGAAAATGTGTTTATTATTTCAGATCAGCCCTTTTTTACAAGGCATCAATTGGTTACTTGGTGGTGAGTGTTGGGTTCTATTGCAGATGTGATGCCATCCATGCAGTAATGGATGGAAATACATTAAAGGAGCAGCGTAACAATTTATTTCACAGGGCAAAGGTCAAGAGAGTGCTGATTCCATATTACAAATCTAACAAAACTGAAGTGGCAGAAGCATTTTTTGAAGGCTTAAGCAGATGAGGGATGTTCAGTTTTCTGTTAGAAAACCTAAATCAGAGAGCATTGAAATCTGTTGAATTTTGGAATAGTTGAGAGTAAGAATGTGAATTCTGTTAGTAAATTGTGATAAGTGTGCTGTTTTCCCTTTCCACCCTCCTTGCTCAGCTTCATTTTTGGGGCAAAAGTTCTAATTCATCAGTGTAGCTGAATTGCTGCACTTAACAGCGCTGACTGTGGTAATACAAGAATAATCACTTATGACTACATTCAGGCAGGAGAACACAGATAAACTATGACTATAGCTATAACTTAATAACTTGTGAAATTTCTAGGTCCCTGTGTTCTTGCAGACAATACTTGAAAGAATTTTCAGTGTTGAGTGGAAGCAATCTGAAACTGGGTTGCACCAGTGTTCCAGTAGCTCTGTGCTTCACACGAGCTGCTGCAGGTAGGGGATCCTACAGCTCTTTGCTGGTTTCTTAGGAGTCCTGGCCTTTTCTCTTGACATCAGTGTGAAGTTCTCTATAGGTTTTTGAAACAACCAATGTGTTCTGTGGCATCTGGACAACGAATTCAATATTTTAAGAAAGAGGTGTTTTGAGCATGTAATTGTTACTCAATCATTTTGAATTAGCTGTTGCGACTACTGGTTAGCTAAGGCACTGTGGCTTTTAGCTTACATTCCATAAATTTATACTTTTTTTTTTTTTTTAACCACAGGCTTAGGCTAGTAGCTCTTAAATCCTGCAGTAACTTCTATAATCAACAGCCTTAGTCTGCTAGTTTTTAAAAGTATCACCCAGCAATTTCTGTGTAAGGACAACGAACTCAAAATTGAGCAAAAATCATCTTCATTGTCTAACCTGTACTGCATCTGCCTTCAAAAAAGAATCCTCAAGCAATTCTAGATAAGGATTCACAGCTGAAATTGCTTAGCTCATGGGAGGTTTCTCACATGCTGCATTGTGAGAATACTACATACTACATTGACCTTCAGTACTAAAGTGGCTTGGACAGACTAATATACTATGGGCAGGTGATCTTGTGTGGATATTCTTACTGGTGGAGAGCATCTGCCTTAGCATGATTTTTCTATTGTCCGAGGACTGTAGAAACTGTGTGCACTTAGAGTCCTTTCATCAGCACTCAGATAATGCCATAAGTAGATCGTATCCTATTGTGAACAGGATGAAAAAGGTTGAGGCTACTTAAACTTGAGGAACTCTGAGAAAAAGAGGTCTTGTTTTAATCTGTTTTTATAAGTTACATCTCTGGTGATGATGGCACAGTGTTCTCTGACTTCTACTCCATATTGTTTTCTCATGGCTTTTTCATAGAATCATAGAATGGCTTGGGTTGAAAAGGATGGTTCATATAAGAAATGGTGTTGCCAGCAGGAGCAGGGAGGTGCTCATCGCTTTCTTCTCAGCTCTGGTGAGGCCGCACCTCGAGTGCTGTGTTCAGTTTTGGGCCCCTCACTGCAGGAAAGACATCAAGGCACTGGAGCGTGTCCAGAGAAGGGCAACTGAACTGGTGAGGGGTCTGGGGCAAAGGCCTTATGGGGAGCAGCTGAAGGAACTGGAATTGTTAAGTCTGCAGAAGAGGAGGCTCAGGGGAGACATTATTGCTCTCTACAGTTCCTGAAAGGAGGTTGTGGTGAGGTGGGGATTGATTTTTCTCCCAGATAACAGTGATAGGAGGAGGGGGAATGACTTCAGGATTGGATTGGATATTAGGAAAAACAACTTCTTGGAAGGAGTGGTTGTGGCAGTGGCACAGGCTGCCCAGTGAGGCAGTGGAGTTACTGTCCCTGGAGGTGTTTAAGAAACATGTCATTGTGGCATTGAGGGACGTGATTAGTGGGGAAATAGTAGTGAGAGGTAGATGGTTGGGCAAGATGATCTTGGAGGTCTTTTCCCCCCTTGTTCTAAGTTCATCTTGTATCTTTTTTTTTTTTCACAGTTCTAAAAGAAGATGGTGTAGCTCCTGTTTCTTCTTCCAATATAGGAAGTTAGCCCAGTCAAATGATTCTGTTCCCATGGGCCTTTAATAAGGATCATTAAGTGAGTAATCTGTTAGTTTTGTTGTCTTAGCATTTTGGTTGTGGAATTTTGATGGAACTGTATTTCAAGACAAAAACTCATTGCTGTTCCAGCCCTGAAATTCCCAGCCGTTTGTGAACGCTTGCCAAAAGTACTTTTTGTTGTAGCATGCACAGGAGTAACAACTGCTCTGTGTTACACAACATAAATTGTTCTCTTTAATATAGGAGAAGTGAGGAGTAAAGATGGAAAGTTGTGTGTTGGTGGTGGTTTATTTTTACCTTTGAAAACATCACATGATAATTCTGGAGAATGTTTACATTGAAAAACAGCTAATTCACCTTTGGCTGTCTGAGATGAGACAAGCAGTGCTGTGTTTAAGAACCCTCTTGGCTGAGACAAGTCAGAAGGGTCAGTGGCCAACTGTAGGGAGCTGCCAGCTGTCTCAAAGAAGTGTGGACAGGAGTGGAGGGAAGGAAGTATGGAGAAGCGAAAATATAGGAGTTAACCATGGACTGAGGCTATAGAAAGGGCTAACATGAACTTAAGTGACCAGGTTCATTGGTACCCTGATGTAGACATGGGGGGTAGCAAGGCCTGTTGGTGCATGAAGCCTGTGTGAAAGCTGGCATTCCTCAAGTACCAACAGAATGATACAGCCGGGAACCACTGCAGTTTCTACTGCTTCTCTGGTTTTTGATTCAAAGTTTTGAATTCTGAATTTCTTGGAACAGTTTTGTGTTTTTTAAAAAAAACTTCATGAATACGTTTACAGGTATTTATGAAGAAGAGCTTTTCAAAAGTGGATGTTCAAAATTCATTTAATCGTACCTGTGAAAATAGCATGCTAATGCTTCATAAATTCTCATAGCTCTCATCAAATGACCTTGAAATTATCTGCATCTAGATGTCACTGAACTGGTTGTTACTTTTCTTTTGGCTTTCAGATTTAAAGGAGACAGAAATGCTGATCTCCATCTTGAGAGGTGAGCCCTATTTGTTTTGCTTCTGAAAGCGCTATGAATGACTGAGGAGGATGTCTGAGCACTTTTTTTTTGTCAACCATCAGTGGTTCACAGATGTTGCTTATGCAGTCGTAGACAGTGTTGCTCAGCAGCTTATAATCTGATCACAAGACACAACGATATCCTTTTCAGTCCCACAAATACACATTCAACCTGCAGATGGTTAATTATTTCAAGCAGTTCCTCTATAATTCATTGGTAAACTCTGTTTTCAGTGTTTGTGGATTAAGCTTCTGAATTAGCAAAATGACAAGAGGAGCATCAAATCTTACTGATGTAGTGATGATGAGAGCACATGGACTGTTTTGTTGCTTTTCTTGTGGATTTTTGTTATCAGAAGTGTGAGGTTTTTAAAGAACTTGGTCATGAGCAAGCACTGTTATTTGTCATGAGATTACAAGGGTGATCAGGTAGGTTAGGGAGCACTGTGAATAAATACTTTTTGCTGCTATTGCATTTCACGTGTTAATACTGAGGCTGACTTGCAAGGCATTGTTTGCCACTACAAACCATGTTGTATTTGAAGTGATTGCTGTGGTTGCGGGATAGTATGGATTAAAAATGCTCAGTATACTATGGAACTATGAATCTGTTCAAATATCCGTCTGTTATTGCAGTTTTATTCTCTGTAATCCCTAAACCAGGAGGTTAAAGATGTGTGAAACTGGATCATATGGATAGGGCTTTCATTCAGGGTAGGTCCTTACTGTATTATGTAGAAGCAGGGACTTGGGTGGATCAGTTGCTGTGCTGTGGGGATCACAGTTTTTGTGGAACACCTAATATGCAACCGTGTTTGTGTTAAGCTGTTATATTGTTACTGTTCTGTGCAGATGGGCTCAGCACCTCTGGTAGAGATGTAAGCCTTGTAAGCGATTTGGTTTCTTATAATTAACTATATCTGAATTGGTAACATCTCAGTGTCTTCTCTCAGAAGTTCATTGTTTAGCCTGTAAAACACATGCTTACAGCGCTGGCATCAGTGAGCTGATAAGCTATTATAAAGTACTGGGTTTTAAAGGTCAACATTGTGCCAGAGTGAAATAGTTTGTAGTTAACTCTCAAGAAGATTAGGGGTTATTGGGATCCCTGGTTGGTGTGGGTTTTTTGTTTGTGGTTTTTTATTTTGCTTTTTGGGGCAAAGCAGTGTATGGAAGTATATGATTGCTGCAGTCTTCTACTAACAAATAATTGGGTGGAAGGCAGGCTCAGCATGCTCTGCCTCATGATTTGCCTACCAAATTGTAGGGACCCAAGGAGATGAGAACTGATAGATATGCACTGCAATACCATTTGTGATACGGATGAAACTTGGGATTTTACGTGAAATTTGTATGAAAAACAGTTTTGCTGCTAATTAATCAGTGTATATCATCAAATATCTTTTCCTTTTCTCCAAGGCTTCCATTTGTTCCTACAGTTCTGCAGCACAGCAGAACAGGTTCCATGATCTATATATAAACTGCTGAGGTTGCTAGTCTCAAATACTATTCTTTAATTGGTTGTGTAACGTTTCCCTAATCACAGGAACACGAAAGTAGTTCCGAAATTGAATCTGATAATTTCAAGTTTTAAAAACACAAGTTAGAAATTTTATTAAGAAATCGTTTGCACAACCGATTTTTTTTTCCTTGTAATATATTTGTTTACTATAATGATATTATTAGATTGTCCATACTGTTGATGTAGAAACAGTGACTGATGTTAAGCCTTATTAGAAATAAATATGGTAAATGAACAGTGAACCAGATTTTCTTGGGCAGATATATAAATCAGATTATCAGTATATGTAGAACAATAGAACAGCTTGGCCCACCCAGCCCCAACCCCTGCCTTGGACAGGGCTGCCCCCACCAGCTCAGGCTGCCCAGGGCCCCATCCAACCTGCCTTGAGCACCTCCAGGGATGGGGCACCACAGCTTCTCCGGGCAGCTGGGTGAGAAAGTCTGGGTGAAGACTTTCATCCTAACATCTAACCTAAATCTCCCCTCTTTTAAACTAAAAGAATTCCTCCTTGTCCCGTCACTATCTACCTGTGTAAAAAGTCAGCCTCCTCCAGCTCCCTTCAAGTAGTGGGACGCTACAGTGAGGTCTCCCTGAGCAGAACAAGCACAGCGCTCTCAGCCTTTCTTCACAAGAGAGGTGCTCCAGCCTCAGAGCATCTTTGTGGACCTCCTCTGGACCCACCACATCAACTCTGCATTCTTCCTATATCAGGGGCCCCAGCCTAGACAGTACTTCAGATGGGACCTCACAAGGGCAGAGCAGAGGGGTGCTGTCACCTCTCTCTCTGCTGGCTGCTTTTCTCCTGACACAGCCTAGGATGCAGTTGGACTTCTGGGCTGCAAGTGCACACTGCTGGCTCATGTCATGTTTTTATTAATCTTGAGTGTTAATCCGAGAAGCAAAATTTGTTAATGCTGTCCATGGTATTGAGATGACAGCTTAGCATCACCCAGAAATGAGTTTTGATGGCTCTGGTAAGATTGTGCTGAATGTCCAATTAATAAAAACAACATTGGAACCTTATACAGCTCTGCAGCCTGAGGAGAAAGTTTTCTTTTTCCTGTAGAGGAAAAAGGCATTGATATTAACTGAGCTCTCTGACAAGGTTGACAAGAAGTTGTGATAAAAGCTGATGCAAAAGGCAAGAGTTTGGGGCCTTTCTATCCCAGGTACTAATGTAGAAAATGCTGTTTTCACTAATGAAACTTGCAGTCTCCCTGGGTAGTCCTGAAAATGTACTACTGTATGTGTGTAAGTAACTGGCAGTGTTCAACTTAAATTACATCTACGTTTATTAGAAGTCTGTATCAGTTTGCCAATCTAAGTTTTGTGGTTGTTTTAAAAAAATAAATTATACCCATGCAATAATGAATTGCGGCACTTCAGAAGGGAGTGGTTCCCCCACGCTCTAAGCGTGATCTGAAATGCTTCCATGGATAATTGCCTTTACTTCAGTAGCCAGAGTACGTGGATATAGAAGACTTGTTATCCCCTGCCCTTTTTTTTCTTTTTCTTTTATATTGAGCTCTTGTTTTGTTCCCGTTCTCCTTGATTTGAGCCTCTCCTGATGCACCAGCAGCAACTCATCTGCTTCTGACTGCAGGTCTTTCTCCTTCATGAGATTTGGCAGAAGCTGATGTAGCCATGATGCTGCACCAACTGTTCTCTTGATTTGACCTTTTGATGCGTCTCTCTAAAAATCTTCTTCAGGAGCATTGTTATGCAGGAAGGAAATGCAGTGGGTAACTCATACCCACTGATGTCGTTTTAAGGCAGAGTAGGAGACAGTTTCAGGAATTTAAAAAGCAACCCCCTGAAACAAACACATACTATTTGTCTGTTAGTGCAGATACGTGTGGGTTTTTTTTAAGTTTTTTAAAGTTGTTTAAAGAGTTCGCTACTGTTTATGATTTGCAGTCCTTACAATCATGTTGAGGGCACTTTTATTTTAAAGATCAAAGCATATCCAGAGGAGAGCCACAAAGATGATCAGGTGCTGGAGCACCTCCCCTGCGAAGACAGGCTGAGGGAGCTGGGCTTGTTCAGCCTGGAGAGAAGAAGGCTGCGGGGTGACCTCATTGCAGCCTTTCAGTACCTAAAGGGAGCCTACAAACAGGAGGGGAGTCAACTCTTTACAAGGGTAAATAATGGCAGGACAAGGGGAAGTAGTTTTAAGCTGAAAGATAAAAGATTTAAGTTGGATATCAGGGGCAAGTTCTTTACAGAGAGAGTGGTGAGGTGCTGGAACAGGCTGCCCAGAGAGGTTGTGGATGCCCCGTCCCTGGAGGTGTTCAAGGCCAGATTGGATGGGGCTCTGGGCAGCCTGGTCTAGTATTAAATGGGGAGGTTGGTGGCCCTGCCTGTGGTGGGGGGTTGGATATTCGTGATCCTTGAGGTGCCTTCCAACCCTGGCCATGCTATGATTCTGTAAAGCATTCTCTTGGTATCTTAGTGACAAATAAATCTCATGCTGTAGGAGGAAGGGAGCCACCAGTTCCAAACTGCACATTTTGTGGAATCTGTTCATTTTCCTTTGTCTCAGATCTCTGCTGTTAATGGAACAAAGCCTTCATGGGTACTATGCTTGTCAATGTAAGATTTGTGGATTTGATGAATGGCTATGGTAACACTAGTGATATGTTGTATACTGCTCTGCAGATGAAATGAGAGCTGCATTAGTTTAGAATACATGTTAAGATGTATGGAAGTTTCTAACAGTGTTTAAAAAAAAAAAAGTCTCTTTGCCAAAAACACAAAAGAAGACATTGAAAGTTGTAGAGTGTTACCAGTTCTATGTGTTTAGTTTTGAAATAAGTAGAATGGTCTGTAGCTACTGTCTATAATCAAGGTTTGATATGCTTTCCCCTCAAGACTCAGTTTTTAAATTGGTAAGTTCTGCCAAATGTGTTTGGCTGACTTCTTTGGTTTTTCCCTTCCACCCTCTCTGGATGACTGCCCCAGCCTGATTATTTTATGACATTGAATGTGGTTTAGTTCTGGCTCCTTTATTTTATTCAAGCCAAAGCAGTGAGCTGGGAAAGAAGCTACTTCAGGAGAAAAAAATTAAGAGGTTTCTTTTAAACACTTTCAGTGCTTTTACAATATTTACTATGGAATGGAAGGATCACCTCATGGTTCTGCTCTTGTTCATTTTCACAAATACGGTTAAAAATGTGACCAAGTTTCATACATTTTTCATAAGGAAAAAAAAATAATAAAAACCACCTGTCAGTTTGGATGTGCTTATTGCTGCTGGGAATTTCGCAGTTGTCTGAATCCAAGAAAGAAAAAAGACGGAGGAGAGTAGAATACTGTTGTAACTTGATTTGGAGATGGCTCAAGGTGTAGGATGACTGTGTGAGGATGGAAGGAGAAGAAATTTGATGACAAAGTAGACAGATTGTTGGGAACAGTGTAGAAGAGAACAAAGTTGGGAGAAAAGGGTAGTCATTGGA